GCTCCCGAGCAAGCCCAATCGCTCACTCACAACCTTCATGCTGGTGGCTCACAAAGTAGAATTTCTGCTCACCAGACTCCACAGCTTAGAGGGAGGCATTGCCTGTGACTTTGCCAGCAACCTCCCTGCAGGCAGGGTGACCAAAGAGCCCTTTCCGGAGGGCACAGGACAGGCTGCGGTTGGAGCCTCGCTTGGCTTCTGGCTGTTCCTCCATGAGACTGATCTGTTGTCGTCCAGGGCCCAGGATTCATGGCGGTGGCTGCGGTCGTGGCTGCCACTCAGAAACCTTGGTGCTCCATTCAGGGCTCTTAGAAAGCTGTCTTGACCTGGACAGATGGCGGCAGGGCATTTCTGAGTGTATTTACATTCCTGCCAGCTGCGCCACGCCATCCCAGCCCTGCAGAAACGGATGGGACTCTGGGCACCGGTTCCCTCCTGGGGATTTTATCTTCCTCGTAGAGAAGCGAGGTTGCTGATCTCCTAACAGAAAATCTGCCTCTTTACGGGAGGATTGGGAAGCGGCCAACGGAACAGTGCTTTTAACAAGAGGGGAATCCAGGGGAGCCGGTAAACCGCCAGCCTGACATCTGTTCCTGCTCAGCTGGTGAGAAGGGCCATTACAGGGAGATTTGTTCAGCTTCTAGAGGAGGGACAAGCTGCGCGGAGAGAGACTCAGCATGGTTTCTGCCCAAGGAAATCCTGCCTTTAAAACCTTTAGGAGTGTCAACAGCAAGTCATTTTTCCCTTGTCCTACACCGTGGACAGAATGACCCCCGAGGATGAACTCACTGGGCCCAGCGTGACTCGATTTGTTTGCAAATGAATTTGGAGTCAGGATGAACAGCGAGGCGGACCGACTTGCAGGTGGTATCAAAATGGTGGGAACCAAAGCAGATGACGCCGGAGCTCTTGAAGGTGGCTGAGTGGGGCAGCAAAGGGGCCAGGCGGGACAAGAACAGTCATGTTTCCACAGACCCTGCCAGCGGCTAATCTGGGCTCGTGATAGATCAGCTCCAGGAAATGGTCGGTCTTGTGACAACAGTGAAGACGATCTCATGCCAGGGACTGAAGAAGACGCAACATTCGGTCTAGGGACGGTCTCAGCATTCTTTTTCTCTGCAGCCTGGACCCCCAGAGTCACACATGAAGCCGCCTTCTGCTGAATCAGACCCCCCTCGGTCCATCGAGCTCAGTCTGGGTCGACTCCGACTGGCAGCGGCTCTCCAAGGTCTCGGGTGGAGGTCTTTCCCATCACCTCCTGCCTGGTCCTTTTTAACTGGAGATGCTAGGTCTTAACTGAAGATGCTAGGTGGAGGTCTTTTCCGTCACCTACCACCTGGTCCATTTTAGCTGGAGATGCCGGGGATTGAACCTGGGACCTTCTGTGTGCCAAGCAGAGGCTCTGCCACTGAGCCACAGCCCCTCTTGACAGCTCTCCAGGGTCGCAGGGTGGAGATCTTTCCCATCCCCTCCTGCCTGATCCTTTCAACTGGAGATACCGGGGATTGAACCTGGGACTTTCTGCATGCCTGCTCTACCACTGAGCCACAGCTAAGCCACATTTGAAAGCTTGCTTCTCCTTGTATGACTTGAACTCAGGACTCTGTATTTGGGGCACCATTTTCTGTTTCCATGTTCTGGTTGCTCCCGACATCATTTGTACATCAGTGAATCATCACCACTCTACATTATATGCATATTTTAACAATGAATCCCATACGTTGGGTGCATAAACACCATATACATTGCATATAAAACCCATACAACGTGTCTGTATGGTGCAAACAAACCAACAGAACTGGCAGTGAAAAGCAGAAAGCCAAACTGTTGACAGAAAAATCAGTGAAGCCGGTGAAAAGGAGCCAAGGGAGTGAATACGCTCTTCTCCCTGTCTGGGACCGGAAGCCCCGTGTGGCTCAGCGGAACCTCCCCGATCAGAGAGGTCGTGTGCAATGCCTCCCTCTAAGCTGTGGAGTCTCGTGAGCAAAAAGTCTACTTTGTGAGCTTCTGGCCTTAAAGTTGTGAGCAAGCGATTTGGCTACTGCATAAATTAGTTTGCTCTCTGGAGCCCTCCTTCCTGAGCTAAGACAAAAAGGTGTGAACCGGAGGCTAAGAAACTGTGAGCTGGCTCACACTAACTCAGCTTAGAAGGAACACTGGTCTTGTGTGCAACTGATGGCCAGCTGATTTATTTAAAGCACCTATTAGCACCTTCCCTCCTTAAGGAGCTCAAGGCAGTGTACAGCACAGATAAGACCACTTAAAATAAAATGTTCTAAAAACATAGAAAGCAAAGTTTAAAACAAGGAGTTGGGACTGCTAGTAAACTCAATAAAACGGTCTTTAGCTGCCTCCTGAAGGTCTAAAGGGAGGGGGGGCCAGGCGCATCTCCCCAAGGGAGGCTGCTCCGTAATCCTGGGGCTGCCACCAAAAGGGCCCTGTCTCGAATTGATGGAACAGTCCGGAAGGCCTCTTCCTGTCATCTACTAGCTGCTGGGGGGGGGACAGCCACAGAGTGTCCGTTTTCGTGGGCACCTCTCTGGCGTTGCTGGATTGGGACCTGGATGGAGCCACCTTGGCCAGTCCTGCCTGCCCTCTGCTCCCCTGGTCATTCGGGGCCCGGATGGTTGCCCTGCTGACAGCGGCTGGAACTCCACTAATCCCCGGTCCCTCAAAGCAGGAAGCCCCTCCCATCCCACAGCCTTGGCTTTTAGCACTTTGCAGTTGCGCCAGCAGTGAGGGTCTGAAAGGAGGCCTTCTCTGGGGTTCCAAGTCCAGCAGGCCGTGCCTTCGGAAGGAGGGGGGCGGGGGGCTGAGGCGGGAGGGAGGGGGGAGGAGGAAGAGACTGCATTTCCTGCGCTAGCCACAAACTGACACATTTTCCACACCCGCCTTCCGGTTGCCGTGGCAACCTGGTCCTTCCCTTCTTTCATCTGCTTTTAATGATCCTATCAGTTTGCCGCTCAGTCAAGGCTGATGTGAGCACCTTGGTTGTTACGGTAACCCTCTCAAGCACCTTCTCCTGGCATGGGGGGGGGAGGGAGGGAGACCCCCCCCCAGCCCTCGGTTCTCCCTCCGGTAGGGTTCTCTGACACTGGGCGTCTCTGCAATGGAAGGGCCAGATCTGAGTCCACAGAAGCAGGTCCCTAAAGTCAAGACGTTGTTGTGGGTATGCAGGGCTATCTTTTGGCTGTGCTCCTGAACTGTAGGTCAGATCCAGATGCAAGACAGAAGACTCGTGATAAGCTCTGTAGTATGAACGGGAATATAAAGGTTTTTTTCCCTTTTGATTATTCATATTTTCCCGGTTTTATAGATTTTTTCCCCCTCAGCAAGATTTTATTAGGATGTAATGAAGGCCTATTAAAATAGCAGGCCTTTTCCTTTGTAGGTTAGGGTATTTTTCCAGTTGATGCTAGCAGACAAGACAATGACATTCTTTTGGTATAGAAGATAGGTATAAAGTTCATGGTTGTTTAGTTGTTTAGGTCAAAGCTTTGCAGTGTCTGGGTCAAAAAGGATTTTAGCTCCGTATCAGAGAAAGAGCACCTTTGTTTGGGTGTAGAGAATCCTTGGCCAATATTATTCAGGTTCGGTTAAGTAAACACTTGACGATGTTGTGTAGACACACCTTTCTTTACATTTGACCAATAAGGGAACTATTACTCAGATGATGCATTGTCTTTTGTAACCAATTATGCTTTTTGAATGTGAACTTCCTGACTACGGCACTCCAAGTATAAAACTTCAGGTATTTCCTGATCGTGCTCAGAGAGCAGTCAGTTTTTAAATGGGCTGTTTGGCCCAACTGTCTTCCGGTGATTGATTGCAATTAAACACCCAGACCTTCCTCCTCATTTTGACTTCATTTTTTTTTTGGGGGGGGGACTGGGATTCTATTTGTATAACACTCGGAAGGATTTAAGAGTGAGCCAATTTGGAGGGGGGAAACCATTGTATTCCAGGTTTCATGCAAACGTTTCTAACTTTGTCTCTTTGTGCTTTCCACAGGGGTGTGTGTGTGTGTCTGTGTATTGCCGCCCAGTCCTACCCGGGGCCTTGTGGATGAGGAGGGGCTGTAAATTGGGCATCCTCTGCCAGGGCGTTCCGGGGTGCAGCTCTTGGGGCAAGAGAGGCCACTGTGGGGTGCCGTGCTTCAGAGCCCAACGGAGGAGCCACTGGATCGGACGGAGTTCTCTGGCCCTGCATCGGCCCTCCGGACCTTGGAGCGCCGCGTGGCCAGCTCCGACTGACAGGGCCCCCCCCCGGCAGAAGGAGGCTTTCCCCGGAACCTGCCCCCTCCCTGGGTCTGATCCATCCTGCCGCCCCAGTCCTTGAACCCGGCAGGTCCTTGAACTGGGCTGGTGGGGCTCTGCTACGGTCATGACCCAGTCCCCCGCCGAGGGGACCATCTGGGAGGGCCGGGATGTGCCTTCCCAAAGCGCATTAGGAGCCCTGCTTAGGGTTGCCAAAATCCCCCCCCCCCCCCGTGGGGGGGGGAATTAGAGCCATATGGACCCGTTCTGGAGAGGCGGCTTGCGTTGCTGATGCAAAGGGGCTGGAGGAGCCCAGAGATTAACATTATTTTCTGCATTAAGCACAACAGTTCGGAGTTAATGCTTTCAGTCTTGAATATGGATTCAGAGACCAGGGAGAGATTTGCAAGACATTACATGGATGCAAATTGCAGCAGGCACCCGAGGCCTTCTCCTCCTCCCCACTTTGAGCAAATTCAACAAGGGATTTGACTCCGGGGCTTACGGCAAATAGACTTTGGCTTTCACGCAGATTGCCGCCTTTAATGGCGGGCGGGCAGCCTGGCTGGAGTCCGTCCCCTGGAAGAGTCTCCCCTGCCTGCCTGTCTGGCTGGGGTGCCAAGAGAGCCCCGGGGAGCTGCCACCGCCACCAGGCCGCCACCTGGGCTGCAGCACAGCCTGCAGAGGCACAGGGAGGGTGCCCTGCCAGGGGGCATCCTCCATCTGGTCGGGAGCGGGAGACAGATGTCTGCCATGTTCTCCCCTGCCCTAGCAAGCCCTCGGGGCCTGGAGGCCAACCGGCACCAGTGTTGCCTGGTTGACTGCCGTGGAGCTTTCCCGGGCATCAAAGTGCGGTGAGCAAAGGTGCCTTTTGGAGCAGGGGGGAGAGGAAGCCGCCCCGCCTGTCAGGAACAAGCTGCCTGCGCCGAGATAAATGGCAGCTGCGTCTGAGGAATAAACAGGATAATCTGGATTTAAATAAGCCACAAGGGGGGGATTGGCAGCATGCAGATTCACAACTTCGTAAAACGTTTCCTTTCAAAATTAAGAGCTCGTTTGAAGCCAGCGGTTGAGCGCCATCATTCAGGCACCTCCCCCCCCTCCTCCGAGGTGATTTCGGAGGCAGCCTCTGCTGCAGCCGCACAGACGGAGCGGATGGGAAGGCGGCCACTGGCTGGCCGCAAATAGGGAGCGACTGCCTGCCTGGCCTCACCGCGACACGGAAGGTGCCGCTTCCAACCCGAGGGGAACGGGCCGCCAGGCTTCCCAGTTGCGTCAAGGGCAGGGTCTGCCCGGTGCCCCAACTTTCTCTGGGAGCTGCTGAGCTAGGCGCTCACCCAGACCTGAGGGAGGGAGCCCCCCCAAAGCCCAGCGAGCCACTCCCCCCTCCAGGGCCGGCCCGTTGTTAAATTTTAGACTGTCGCCTAGGGCGATGGCTCAACAAGGGCGCCACTCTGGCCGGCCTCGTCCCCTCCTCGCCCCGCAAAGGAAGCCTCCATGTCCCTCTTTGCAGCCCCCCAGACAGAAAGAGAAGGAGGCGGGGGGGGACAGGCACAGGGAACAGCCCGGGATGACGGGAAAGTGCCGCTTGCCCTCTGCCGCCCTCTTTGGAGCTCCTTTTGCAGCATGGCACAGGCCCCCGAATAGATCCTTACCTAGTGGGCAAAAAAACCTGGGGCCGTCACTGCCCCCCCCGCCCCGGCACATGGAGGCCTGCCAGCCGGCTCCCCAGTCCTAGGCCAGCTCTCCCTGGCAGGGGTCAGAGGCACAGAGCGAGGGAGGAGGAGCTTTTCAGCACCACCTCCAAAATCTCCACGTCTTTCCCAGGCCAGGGCCGGCCACCCTCCCTCCCTCCCTCCCTGCAGAATCCCTCTTGGGGTGAGTGCCCCAGGCGCTCTCTCTCGGGCCTCCGGCTCACCCTTGCCCACCTTCCCCTTCCCTCCGGCGGAGGCGCAGACCAGGGTGTGCAGCTCCCCGCGGAGGCCCGGCAGGCCTGGCTTGCTCCTCCTGTCTTAATGAAAAGCCCTTCCCGGGGAAACGCGAGGCCCCGGCGCAGTTAATTATTGACGGCGCATGTGAATCTGAGATAAAAGGAAACTCGGCGGCTCCTCCTTGCGCACCAGATAGTAAATAAATCTAATTACGGGACAAGAGGCAGGGGATCTGCGTCTGTATTATGTTTTATTAGCAGAGACATTTAAAGGCATGTCTTCCTAACAAAGAGGTCTTGTGTAATCCTAAATGTACCACTTTGGTACAAGGCTCTGAAGTGCAGAGACTTAATTGAGCAGATGGCTGCGGCGCAGGCAGGTACGGGACAGGTTTATTGTCAATTAACTTTTGTCTACATATGCCGATGGCAAATTGACTGCGTAATGGCTTCTCAGGACCAGCGTTAACCCTTGCCGTGCCCGGGAGCGGGAAGGCCAAAGGCAACCCAGGGGCTCTTCCGACGGGAGTAGGGAGCCGCGCCACCAAAATACACACCATGGGACAACGAGTTGCCAGAAGACAGGAAGCCCTGTTGTCCCTGGAACTCATAACATCAGCCTGTGCCAACCGCCTGGAAGATACCCTAAATCAGGGGTGTCGAACTCATTTGCTACGAGGGCCGGATCTGACACAAATGAGACCTTGTTGGGCCGGGCCACGTGTGTGTCATAAAATGTAGTGCCAGGTAGCGGAGAGATAAACTTTATAAAGGACACAAACACAAAGGTGTTTTTAAAATTAGAATAAAAACATGCTTAAAACATTAGCTTTGTAAACTGCAAACCTACTTTTGATTTATGGACATTCACCACAGAAATCTCTTGCTCAAGAGGTCTGAGTCCAGGACCCCGGTTAAAACATGGGATGGCTGAGTGATTAAGAGAGTCTGGCAAAGCAAGCGATGATGCAGCAGCAGCAGCAGCAGCAGCAGAACTGGAAGCAGGAGATGGCCGGTTCCACTGCGGGCCTGATGGGAGCCCCTCCGGGGGGGCCTGATCCGGCCTCCGTGCCACATGTTTGACACCCCTGCCCTAAATAGATCTAGGAGCCAGTTCTGGGAAGAAAGAACTTATAGAGTAGCCATCGTTGACTCAGTTACAACAACAACAAACTAGCACTTATTGTGTTATTGCTAATTAGCTTCAGCTTGGTTTAAATGTTTTAATTGCATATATATATATATATATATGCTGATTTTATGTAAGCCGCCCTAAGCCAGCCTCGGATGGGAGGGCGGGGTAAACATTTGAGAAAACCAACCAACCCACCCACCGGGCTCCGCTGGGCTTCCTCTGCTGCCTGGGCTGGTGAGAAAAGCCCGTGCCCACCCTGACCCCCTTCCATCTCTCTCTTTGCCTTCCAGGGACGTGATGCCCAAGACCCTCGAGGGGCAGCTCACCATGGAGAAGACCCCCAGCTACTTTGTCACCAGTGAGGCCCCCCAGCGCATCCACGCCATGGCCAAGGAGACCAAGCTGATCGTGGTGGTGCGCGACCCCGTGACGCGGGCCATCTCCGACTACACCCAGACCCTCTCCAAGAAGCCGGACATCCCCACCTTCGAGGTGCTGGCCTTCAAGAACCGGACGCTCGGCCTGATCGACGCCTCCTGGAGCGCCATCCGCATCGGGATCTACGCCCTCCACCTGGAGAACTGGCTCCAGCACTTCCCCCTCTCGCAGATCCACTTTGTCAGCGGAGAGCGGCTCATCGAGGACCCGGCGGGGGAGATGGCCAAGGTGCAGGACTTCCTGGGCCTCAAGCGGGTCGTGACGGAGAAGTACTTCTACTTCAACCAGACCAAGGGCTTCCCCTGCCTCAAGAAGCCCGAGGACAGCAGCGCCCCCCGCTGCCTCGGCAAGTCCAAGGGCCGGACTCACCCCAGGATAGACCAGAGCGTCATCCAGAGGCTGCGGAAGTTCTACAAGCCCTTCAACGTCATGTTCTACCAAATGACGGGCGAGGACTTCCGGTGGGAGCAGGAGGAAGGGGAGAAGTGAGGCCGGGGCCTGCCGGGGATGCCGCCTCCTATCCAGAGGTAAGCGGGGGGCCTCGGGCGAAGGAATTCCTTTTTGCCTGCCCACATCGGGCAGCCATCTTGCTTTGGAGAGAGGTGGGGATGTTTTCGAGGCGGACCAACAGATCCCACATTCTCATGTCCTTGCAGTTTCCTTCCTTCCTTCCTTCCTTCCTTCCTTCCTTCCTTCCTTCCTTCCTTCCTTCCTTCCTCTGTCTTTCTTTCCTCCTTCCTCTCTCTCTTTCCTTCCTTCTTTCCTCTCTCTCCTCCTCCTCCCTCTTTCTTTCTTTCTTTCTTTCCTTTCTTTCTTTCTTTCTTTCTTTCTTTCTTTCTTTCTTTCTTTCTCTCTCTCTCTCCCCCCCCTCCCTCCCAAAGCAGGTTTTAGGAAATTCTTCCCTCCTCCATTGTCTCACAACAACAGCCCTGTGAGGCAGGTCAGGCTGAGAGCTTGTGACCGGTCCAAAGTCACCCAGTGAGCTTCCATGGCAGAAGTGGGGATTCGAACCCAAGTCACCCAGGGTCCTAATCCGCCAGGCTATCCCCTACACCGCCCTGACTCCCGCTGTGTGTCTGTGTGGTGAACTCACCGAGTGACACCCCCCTCCGGCCCCGTTTCAGGCCTGCAGAAGGCTCCCATTGGGAGTCCCCACCCCCAGGCTCAGAGAAGCCACACGGCAGACAGACCCAGGGGGGTGGCTCCAGGCCCCTCCCGTGGCTCAAGAAGACCCAGTCTGGGCCTCCCAGCGCTTGGGGCTGAGGCCTCGTCCATGTGGGATTCACGGGTCATACGCGGGAGCATTCGTCTCCAGGTGCGTCTTCCTTTGCCCGGTGAGTTATAAAAAGAGGGTTCGACAGAGAAGCACTCTTTCTCCACCAACCTCCAAGAAATTATTATTTCGTGAAAACTGGAAATGTGCACCAGCTCTGACTTCAGATTGTTTCATGTGTAATTGGAACTGTCGTTTCTTCTGCTGAATGAGAGCGCCTTGGCGTTCCACAGTTTAATTCTCAGTGACGGACGGGTTCAGGTGAAGGGCTGGTTCTTGAAACTGCACCCAAACGGGGGGCTCCCACTGTGGCTACAGGCCGGCAGACACAGGCACAGACTCCCCCCACCCCCATGTCACAGAAACAGAGGGCTGGGTGGGGGTCCCAGTGCTCCCTCTAAGCTGAGTTGGTGTGATCTAGCTCACAGTTTTTTAGACTCCAGCTTGCAGATTTTTGTCTCCGCTCCGGAAGGATGGCTCCAGAGCCAACTAATTTCTGCAGCAGCCAAATCGCTCGCTTGCAGCTTTAATGCCCAGAGCTGACAAAGTAGAACTTTTGCTCACAAGACTCCACAGCTTAAAGGGAGCATGGGGCGGGACCCGTCCTCCATCTAGCATCAGCCTTTCTGATCCGCCTACACGAGGCAGACCGAGCCAGGGAGCAGCAGGGCCAAATGCGTTCTCCGCACAAGTGTGGAAGAGGAAGCTGCCTCTGGGCCGTACCACACTATCTGCCCCCCCTGGTGGGGTATTCTTCTTTTGCAAAATACCCAAGGCCCCCCAGCACAGAGGCTCAGCCAGTCAAGTGGCCCACGCCCAAGAGAAGAAGGAGAAGAGATTGGATTTATACCCCGCCCTTCACTCAGAGTCTCAGAGCAGCTTACAATCTCCTTTCCCTTCCCCTCCCCAGAACAGACACCCCTGGGAGGTGGGTGGGGCTGAGAGAGCTCTGACACAAACTGCTCTTTTCAAGAACAGCTCTTATCAGAACTACGGCTTGCCCAAGGTCACCCAGCAGCTGCGAGTGGAGGAGTGATGGGGAATCAAACCCAGTTCTCCCAGATTAGAGTTTGCCCACTTAACCACTACACCAAAGTGGCATTGGGTCTTGGGATAAGCCAGAGTTTGCAAGAGGGAAAAGGCAGGCCTGTTCCTTCCGGAAAGGTGTTTGAGAGGGAGGGTGGGAGGTGAAGGGGTGGTCCTCCATGGTGGAGCCCCCCCCCCCCAGGAGGCCTGGCCCTCTTTAATCTCTGCCTTTCCTTTTTCTTTTCCGTAGCTCAGAATCTGCTTGAAGCTGGAGAACCGTCTGACTTCCCTAAGCCTGAGATCCATGACCCGTACTGCCACCAGCCGGTAGCCAAAGCTCCCTTTCTGCACCTGGAAGACGACGTACAATCACCTCTCCCATGTTCCGAGAGCAGCAGGCGCCTGAGAGCGGAGCATGTCCCAAGGACACGTCTCTTCTGGCCCCCTGGGCCATCCCGGCGGGACCAAGCCTGCCTCTTTGTGAGTCCAGAAACAGGCAGGCGGGAGGGTCAGCCATCTTCTTCTTCTCCTCGGCAAGGGCTTCTGGAACCCTCTGCCTGTCCGAGGCGCCCCTGCTGCAAGAGACGGACGACACGGTTTCCTCAAAGGGGGTAGTGGAGAAGAGCTGCTTCGTGCATCCTGCATCCTTCACCATCTTTTCAGATGTTTATTTTTGATATGGCCTGAGCTTGTGAGACTGGGAGGGCGGAAGCAAGAGGGTGGCCTCCCTCTGCGGAAGCGGGGCTGCCTCGTGGCTGGTGGCGAGACACCGCCCTCCCCCCCCCCGGGGGTCCCTCGGGCAGTCCATCCAGCACCCCCTACAGGGCTCTCTTGGGAGTGTGACCCCCCACCCGACTCCACTCTGCTGCAGAGAGATGGGAGATGTCCCCAGGCTGGGCGTACAGAGGAGGAAAAGCCAGCCTGCTTGGGGGCGAGGCGCCCTGCCCGCGTCTCCTCCCGAGCCCCACCGTGGTCTTCTCTTCTGAGGATCCCCTCTTTGCACTCTCCCCACCCCCTCTTGGTCATCTCCCCTCTTCAAATGTCAGCGTTCTCCTGCACACAAGAGATTGAATTTTGTATTTGATTTCAATTAGCAAAGCATAAATTATATTTAATTTTCTACTCACAGAGACTGGATGATTTATTGTCCTGGAAAGCTGGGGATCTCACCGCTCGGAGACTGGCAACGGAACGGATTCGCTGCCTCCCCCAGCTCCACCGCTATGCTGCCGACCTGCCCGTCACCCCCCCACACACACACCGCAAACCCTCCCCCCCCCCGCCCGCCTGTCTGTGTCCTCCGCCGTGGCC